GGGGGGGGGGGGGTCCCGTGTACCCCCACTCAGCTCCCCGCATGGCCATTGCCTTTGAGGTTAAGTCGGACTCCTTAGCTGGGAGGACTTGATCCTGCAGGGTGTAGCCTCTGGCAGCTTCCCCTCCAACCTCATTTCTTCCCTCCCAACCTGTACACCGACCCATTGTCCAAGGCCTGGCTACACTGAACATCCTTTTGGTTCTTCAAAAGCATCCTCTCTCTTCTCCCTCTGGGACTTGACAGATGCTATCCCCTCTGCCGAGAACATTCTCTTCCCACTGACCCCACGCCTGTCTCATGTCACCTTCTCTGGGAAGCCAATTCTGGGTTCCCCTCTTTGTATCCCTCTATCTGTGTTTTCTCCATCACAGCGTTTATCCCACTGGGTTATCATCGTCTGTTTACTTGTCCATCTAGCTCTACCACTGTCCTGTTTCTTCTACTGGAATACCCTGTCCCATCCATCTGCAGGGCTGTCCCCCTTACTTCCTGCAGGCCTCTGCTGGAATGGCACCTTTCATCCGATACTGTTGTCACCCCCCGCCATCCTGATCACTGCATATCCCCCTCTCCCTAACTGTTCACTGCCCAGCTGAATGTTTATATATTTATTTATTTACTTACTTACTTATTTAGTGGACTGTTACATCCAGGTCCTCTGAGTGCTAATCTCAGTTCCACCACTTAATAGCTATGTGATTGTGGCAAGTACTTAAATGATTATGATCATGATGTATTGGTGTATTATTGCCTGTCTTCCACCAGAATGTAAGCCCCTTGAGAGCAGGGAATTTGTCAGTTTTGTCCCCTGATTTGCCTCAAGGCCCTCTTCATTCATCCAGCAAGTAGGCATTGAATGCCTGCAATACTCCAGGGCCTGTTCAGAAAGCTAGGGTTACAGCAGTGAAAAAACAACCAGGGGCTGCCTCGAGAAGTTTATGTTCTACTTGTTTACACAAGTAAACAATATAATTTTAAAATATATTATTTAAGACAGGAGTAAGTCTTACAGAAATAGAACAGGGTGCTACGATAGAGAGGCAGAGTAGCGTGGCCTGGGGAATCAGGGAAGGCCTCTCAGAGGAGGTGACATTCAGGCTAAGGCCAGAATGATGTGAAGGTCAAATGTAAATTGTCCCAGGCTGGGGGGAATGGCAGGCGCACAGGCCCAGAGGGAGGACCAGCTTGCGTATTTGAGGAGCAGAAAGACAGCCAGCGTGGCTATAGTGTAGTGAACAAGGCGGGGGTGGGGGGCATGAGCTGGAGTTGAGAGGCGGGCAGGGGCCAGATCAGGACTCTGTAGGCTATCATGAAAGGATTGGTATTCATCCTGGGGTGATGGGAGGCCTTCGGAGGCCTTTAAGCAGGTGAGTGACATGATTGGTATATAGGACAGCAAGGCCACTCAGGCTACTGTGTAGAGAATGGATTATAGGGCATCAGGAGAGTATTTTGTTGAATGAATGAATGAATGAATTTGGCCTGAGCTGAGTTCTTCGTGCACTCAGCGCAACCCCCTGTCGCCTGTGGTTAGAGACAGGCCAGCTCATGCTTCTCTGATTAGAAGGCTGTTTCTTCTTGAGCTGAGAACTAACGTGGGGCTCCCCAAATACAAGCCCAATAAAATACCATCTTGGGTTCTTCTGGGTAATAGGGACAATTACCCCAGCTGCCAAGTGGCACATGGAGTTGTTTAAAGGTAGTAGAAATTGCTAAGCCTGCTGCCATCAAGGCCAGGCGCTGCCCCTGGGGGTGTCCTTAGTTCTTGGCTTGTTGCTGTCCTCTTTGCCCACCAACATGGTCTGTGCTGATTATCTGAGCCAGGGAAATCTGCTACAAACAGATCTCCAACTTGGGTTCCTGGAGCCACCATTGGAGGCCAGTCTTGCTGGGTGACCTTGGGCATGGTCTTAACCTCTCTGGGCCTCAATTTCTCCATCTGAAACAAGGGAAGGAGAAACCCTGTGCGGGTGTACAGGAGAGAACATGGGGTTTAGAACCAAAGTCTGGTTTGACTTTCATCACATACTTACTGTGTAACTGTGGGGAAATCGCTTGGCCTCTCTGAAGCTTATAGTGAAAGGAGAGAATCATAATGCCTCACGTCCTACTTAACCTTACATGGTAGTTGTAAAAATTAAATGGATTTAAAGTGCTCTGTAAACTGTTATGTGCTGTCCAGATGTTGGTTTGTGGCTTTTAACTACCTCAGAGTTATTTTGAAAAACTGATGCAATATTAGTTGTGGACAGATTTTTAAATAATCCCTCCATGGAGGTGATACTTTGAGAACAAAAGATTTTATTGCTCAGCTGAATGAGAACAAATTTGTGGACCAAAGTCAGTGTGGAGTATGGGTATTAGACTAGAAATCTCTTGGCGGTAAGACGAGTGTTCGAAACAGAGATGGTGGCCAAGAGCTCTGGCTTTGGGCTCTGGTTTGCCATTCACTGGCATGTGACCCGGGCCCAGTTCTTCTCTGAGCCTGTTCCCCTGTGGTTTGAAAACTGGATGCTGTGGTATCAATAGTACCTGGCTCGTAGAGTTGGCTGGGACCGTGCATGTTAAAAACTGTAGCCCCAGGGCCTGGCATCCAGCAGTGGCTCAATAATGTTGTCTCTTACTATTATTTATACACCTTTGCTGTGTGCCAGGCACTGTGCTGAGCATCTTATTTACTTGTTTGTTGATTCTTTTTATGCATTTCTTTCTTCATGGCCATGTCATTTATTGCTTACACAGCCCTTCCAGACACGTACTGTTATAGTCCATTTTTAGGCAAAGGAATCTCAGTGCAGAGAGTTTGAGTTGCCCAAGGTCCCACATCTATGAGTTGGAGGCACTTAGATTCACACCCTGTCTGTCTGATCCTGAGCCTGCATTCGTATCCACAGTGCCCTATGGTCACGGCTGGTACCCTTCCCAGTACCCGCTCCCAGGGCCCTTGGATGCCTGACTTGGCTTGGTTTGTCCCTTCCCCAATCCTCCCCACCCATCCCTTCCCTTCTTCCCCTTCTGCGCCTGGGAAGGAAAGAGAATAAAGGGAGGGACAGAGGAAGGGGAAGGAGACCTTGCTCCCTCCCTTCCTTCCTTTCACTGAAGTGTAACATACATAGAGTACACAAACCGTGTACAGCTCAGTGAATTTTTAAAATATATTTATGCCCATGTAATCACCACCTGGGTCAAGATATAGAACATTTCCATCACCCAGAAGCCTTGCTGTCCCCCTTCTAAGCCAATATTCCCTCCCACTGACAACCTCTCCTCTGACTCTTCTCACTATAGATTGGTTTGACCTATTCTTCAAGTTCATATAAACTTAATCCTACGGTATATATGCTCTGGTGAATGACCATCTGCTTACCATTGAGATTCACTCATGTTGTGGTGAGCCAAACTTCATTCTTTTCATTGCTGTGTAATATTCCATGGTATAAATCTGCATAGGTTGTCCATTCTGCTGTGGGTGAACGTGTGGTTTGTTTCATTTGGGACTATTATGAGTGAAGCTCCTATGAGCATTCGTGTCTTTTGGGAGACATAAACCTTCATTTCTCAGGAGTGGAGTTGCTGGGGCGTAGGGAAGACACATGTTTAAATTTAGTGGATAAAGTCAAACCATTTTTCACATGGTTGTACCAATTTACACTCCCACCAGCAGTGTATGAAAGTTCTGTTTGCTCCTTATTCTCTTAATATTGTAGGTCTTTTAAATTTTAACCTTTCTGATAGGTGAATGGTAGTATCTCATTGGAGTTTTAATTTCCATGTCTCAGATGGCTAATTTACACTCCTACCAGCAGCGTATGGAAGTTCTATTTGTCCCTTATCTTCGTCAGCACTTGGTATTGTCAGTCTTTTAATTTTAGTCATTCTGATGGGTGAGTAGCCGTGTCTCATTGGGGTTTTAATTTCTGTTTCTCTGATGCTCAGCGATGTTGAACACCTCTGCGTGTGCTTATTGGCCATTGGATATCTTTTGTGAAGTACCTGTTCAAGTCTCTTGCCCATCTTAAATTTGCCATGTTTCTTTTTCTTAGTGACTTCTTTTTCTTCTTTTTCTTTTCTTAGTGACTTGTTTTTACACTATGGATACAAATCCTTTGTGATATACACATTGAAAATATCTCCCCCAGCCCCAGTCTCTTAAAGATGGTGAATAGAAGCTTTTAATTTGAATGAGGGCTAATTTATGTACCTTTTCTTTTATGATGTGGTAGTTTTTGTGTCCCGTTTAAGGAAGCTTTGCCTACCTGCTGAAAGCATTTTTCACTGCGATTTCTCCCTGCAGGACTGGAAATGGCCACAGGGGACGGGTCGAGCCAGAGGCTGCCCCAGGTGGCCGAGGAAGGGGAGCCGCATCTGCCCACAGGCCGGGAGCTGACCGAGACCAACCGTTTTGCCTATGCCGCCCTCTGTGGCATCTCCCTGTTCCAGCTCTTTCCAGAACCTGAGCAAAGGTGAGTGCTTTTATCTCACAGAGGGATGGCCATGCTTCTTCAGGGAGATGATTCTTGGCAGCCAAGCAGCCTGCCAGGTGTTACTGGACACTACAAAGAGGAGAAAGCCATTGTCCTTGCCTTCAAGGAGCTCACAATGTGGTAGGGGGCTAGGGCATCCCTCATTCAGTACCCACTTATTTATACCTTCACCAAGCATTTAAGGAGCACCTACAAGCATTTCACCAGGCACTGTTTGAAGTACATGGAAAGTGGACATGAGTAAGACAGACAAGGCCGGGGCTTCCCTGGTGGCACAGTGGTTGAGAATCTGCCTGCTAATGTAAGGAACACGGGTTCGAGCCCTGGCCTGGGAGGATCCCACATGCCGCGGAGCAGCTAGGCCCGTGAGCCACAGCTACTGAGCCTGCGCGTCCGGAGCCTGTGCTCCGCAACAGGAGAGGCCGCGATAGTGAGAGGCCCGCACACCGCGATGAAGAGTGGCCCCCGCTTGCCACGATTAGAGAGAGCCCTGGCACAGAAATGAAGACCCAACACAGCAAAGATAAATAAATTAATTAATAAACTCCTACCCCCAACATAAAAAAAAAAAAAAAAGACAAACAAGGCCGACACTATCCCTGCCCTCAAGTAGGACACACCCTAATAGGGGGTTAAGATATCTACATTCAATGAGCACTTACTATGTGCTGAGTGTAGTACAAGGCCCTGTGGAGAAAACAAGGAAAAGCAACGCCTGGCTTCTACCCTCCTGGTGCTTACAGTCTGGTGGGGGGCGGGCACCCAAATGAGTGATTTTAACAGTGGACAAGTGGGCTAGGTGCCACGATGCATATCAGGTTCAGTGACACTCAGTATATGGAATCGGAATAGTAGAGTGGCTAAGAGCTTGGCCTTGGCCTTCAAGACCTTCAGGGATTTTGTGGGGAGAGAGTTTGGAGACCAGAGGAGGGAGTTGTTTGGAGAAACCAGGACAGTGACCCAGAGATGGAGGGACACAGGTGAGATGGAGGGACACGCAGTTTTTCTCAGGGAGAATGCAGTTGACTTGGAGACAGCTTGGGTGCTGTGGATGGGGCAGAGGGAGGAGCTAACTTTGGCCCCAAAGATCCAGATGGGGAGGGGTCCTGGGAGGACAGAGATATCGTTCCTGAGACAGGGAGTGATGGGTTGGGGGCAGGAGATGGCAAGAAGTTTTTGCGTCTGCAGTGTTTTCAAGAACCGCAGCACCCAACCCCAGCCATGGTCCCCATGAGTAAACTTCCCCGTGCCTTGGGTCTTAGCTGGATTTTTGTTTGTTTTGCTTTTTTTCTTTGTCCCTCCCACTGGCCTGAACCTTGAGCGTTTTCATGTCCTTGGGGGTCACTTCCAGGAAGCCTTCCCAGACCCTCCTCAGCCCCCCAGACAGGAAGCTTCTCCACCTGTCTGTCCAGTAACCTGTCACCACAGCCACCATGCTGCACTGTAACTCTTCCCTGAAGGGCAGGAGCTGCCTCGTTCATCTCTGAGTTCCCAGTGCCTGGCACACAGCTTGGTGTAACACACACCCTCAGTAAAGGTCTGTGAAAAGAAGGGATGGATAAATACTGACTTTCTTAGCACAGGAGACATTCCACGGGATTTGGACTTAGATTTGGGTTCAAGTCCTACCCCTGCCACTTTCCAGTTACATGTGGCCTTAGGCAGTTATTTAACTTCCCTATGCATCAGTGTCTTCATCTGTAGAATAAGGCTAGTGATACCCACCTGCTGAGTGATTACAAGAATCAAATGAGATAATATAGTTAAAGCACATAGCATAGTGTTTGGCCCACAGTAGGTGCTCAGTAAGTGGCGATGCTTGCTGAGTCTGTGACTTACTTTATTTGTTCAATTTCCTCATCTGTAAAATGAAGACAATCCTGAAACTTACCCCTACCATTCAGGGTACTTCGGGCTGCAAGTAACAGTACACTGTACTAAAAGAGATTTAAATAATAAAAGTTACAATGACCATCATCAAAAAATCTAGAAACAATAAATGCTGGAGAGGGTGTGGAGAAAAAGGAACCCTCCTGCACTGTTGGTGGGAATGTAAATTGATACAGCCACTATGGAGAACAGCATGGAGGTTCCTTAAAAATCTAAAACTGGAATTACCATATGACCCAGCAATCCCACTACTGGGCATATACCCTGAGAAAACCATAACTCAAAAAGATACATGTAGGGACTTCCCTGGTGGTGCAGTGGTTAAGAATCTGCCTGCCAATGCAGGGGACAACGGGTTCGAGCCCTGGTCCAGGAAGATCCCACATGCCACGGAGCAACTAAGGCCATGTGCCGCAACTACTGAGCCTGTGCTCTAGAGCCCGCAAGCCACAACTGAAACGGGCGCGCCTAGGGCCTGTGCTCCACAACAAAGACAAGCCACCGCGATGAGAAGCCCGCGCACCGCAACGAAGAGTAGCCCCCGCTCACCACAGCTAGAGAAAGCCTGTGCGCAGCAATGCAGACCCAACACAGCCAAAAATAAATAAATAAATAAATTAATTTTTTTAAAAAGATAATGTACCACAATATTCATTGCAGCACTATTTACAATACCCAGGACATGGAAGCAACCTAAATGTCCATCAACAGATGAATGGATAAAGAAGATGTGGCACATATATACAATGGAATATTACTCAGCCATAAAAAGGAATGAAATTGAATTATTTGTAGTGAGGTGGATGGACCTAGAATCTGTCACACAGAGTAAAATAAGTCAGAAAGAGAAAAACAAATACCGTATGCTAATGCATATATATGGAATTTTAAAAAGCGGTACTGATGAACCTAGTGGCAGGGCAGGAATAAAGAGGCAGACATAGAGAACAGACTAGAGGGCACAGGGTGGGAAGGAGAAGCTGGGATGAATTGAGAGAGTAGCATTGACATATATACACTACCAAATGTATAATGGATGGCTAGTGGGAAGCTGCTGCATAGCACAAGGAGATCAACACAAAGCTTTGTGACCACCTAGAGGGATGGGATAGGGAGGGTGGGAAGGAGGTTCAAGAGGGAAGGGATACGGGGATATATGTATACATATAGCTGATTCACTTTGTTGTACAGTAGAAATTAACACAACATTGTAAAGCATTTATATTCCAATAAAGATGTGAAACAAATTTTAAAATTTAAAAATAAATAAATAAACAATAAGAGATTTGTTTTTCTCACTTAACAAGAAATCAAAAGGAAGAGAGTTCCAGCATTGATACAGCACCTCAAAAAGCCTTCGGGTTGGCTTTTCTGCAGTTCTCTTAGCCTCCCCCTCCTGATCATAAAATGGCTGGGGCAGTGCCATACATCACACCACAGAACAAGACCCAAGGCAAAGGAAGGAAGGCCCAAGGAAGAGGAGGACAGGGATTCTCTTCAAGTCTCTCATCAGGGAGGAACTCTTTCCCGGGATACCCTGAGAAGGCTTCCCCTTTTGTGTCATTGGCTAGGTCTAATCAAATGCCCTCGCCTCACCTGCAAGGGAGGCAGGGAAAAAAATAAAGGCACTTGACATACTCTGTCTCTGTCATGGGAGGGGGCTTCTACTGGTCAGGAAGAAGGGGCCGGGGAATCACTGCTGCTGAGAAATGGCCATCCATCAGAGAGGGTGGTCCTGAGGAAGGAACGTGTTGATGGCCCCTGCAGAGCCTGGCACAGAGCTACTGCCAAACAAACGTTGGATGTTCTCATTATTAATAATGAAACCACGTTCTCTATCTAGAGGTTAGAATATATCTCGTTGGATGTTCTGTTCCCAAGCAAGCCAGGGTCCCATCTCCTGCAAGGGTCCAACTCTCTCCCTGCTGTAGCCCATACCTGTGCCATGCATGGGAAGCTCTGTCTTTCCAGAAGCGTCTCAGATCTGATAAATCCCTACCTGATAAGCTGGTAGATAGGTGGGGGAAGAGTTTTGCTTACTTTGTTCACATAAACAAATATTTATGATCCTGAACTGTGTGCCAGGCCTGTGCTGGGCACCGCCTGGGAGGGCACGTGGGGAAGTTGTTCTGTGTCCCCCACAAAATCCAAGTATGGTCTTGAGCACACGTGGCTGAACCGGAAGCATCTGCCTTGGGGGCAGTTGCCTTCCTGAAAGTTACAATGCTGTATGCCACCTCTTTCCACTTGGTTGATCTCAGTCTTCTTAAGGCCCAAAACACATTTTAAAACCAACCTCAATCTGGGTTGTAAATCCCAGATATAATGTTGGTTTCAGTAATCTTTAGAAAACATTCTGTGTTTATGTCCACATGGGGCATAAAAGCAAGCCTTTAAAATATTTATCTCTCTTCCATGCTGTAAGCGTCACAGACGCTGTTCCTTACAATGAACTCTGTTTATTAAACATGGAGATATTAATGGTGTAGAGCAGGGGTCAGTAAGCTTTGTCCGTGAAGGTCTAGATATTTTAGGCTTGCAAACCCTGTGGTCTCTGTTGCAGTCACCCAGCTTTGCTGTTGCATGTAGGCTAAAAGCAGCCGGGAGACAGCACGTAAAGGAATGGGCATGCTGTGTTCCAATAAAACTTAGTTTCAAAAAAAAAAAAGGGCTGCAGCCCTCTGGTGTAGTTTTCCAGCCCCTAGTGAATAGGAGGAGCTTTGGACTAGGAGTCGGGAACCTGGATTCCAGATGAGGCTCTGCCCTTTCCCAGCCAGGAGACCCTTGATATGGTGATTAACCTCCGCAGCCCAGGGGCTCTGTCTCAAGACATGGCAAGGATGAGAGGGGAGATGGATGCACCAGCCTAGCCAGTGCCCAGCACTCGGTGGGTGCCAAGGAATGTGATTGCTGGAGAGGGACGATCTCTGCAGTGGTGAAGCGTGGCCTCTGGAGTCAGAACCCTGGACCCTGGAGTTGTCACTTAACCTCTCTGGGGAATTCCCTGGCAGTCCAGTGGTTAGGACTCCACGATTTCACTGCTGAGTGACCTAAGATCCCACAAGCCATGTGGCACGGCCAAAAACACCAAAACAAACTAACAAAAAAACACCTTTCTGGTTCTGGGTGTCTTTAGCTCTAGAATGGGGGTAAAAATAGTACCTCCCTCCCTCATGGGGCTGTAATGAGAAGTAAATGAGTCCGTGTGTCTGAAGCACTAAGTACAGGGACTGACAGGTAGTTGCTCAGTGATCACCATTTATTACAATTATTGCTACTGATTTTTATGTGCTTCAACTAGATCACCAGTCACGTTAGAAGCATTTACCAAGGCCCTGCCATTCTTCAATGCTATTTCTTATTTAATAGATTGCTGTACTGGCACTTTACATATATATTTATTAATTCATTTGTTCATTTAAAGAAACACCTATATAGGGCTTTATATGTGCCAGGTTTTGCTCTAAGCACATGACAAATGTTAACTTAGCTTTCAACAACCCAATGAAATAGGTTTCATCGTTATCACCACTGTTTTACAGATAAAGAAACAGAGGCACAGAGAGGCTAAGTAACTTGTCCAAGATCACACAGCTTGTGGCACAGCTGGGATTTGAGCTGGAGTTCGTGCTCTTTACCCCTCCACTCTTGTTATGAGACGCTTCTCTACATCCAGGACTTCCTTCATGGACACAGGGCCAGGCCGTGCTGCTGCCCTCGGCACTACATATATGTTTACCCCGAAGTAATGCTCAATCCACTTAGTCATCCCTCCCAGCATATACACTCACACATCATCCCAGGGTAATCCCAGTAATTGTAGCAGCGTAAGTTACAGTAATTGTTACAGCAGTAGCTAACACTTATTGAGGGTTATCCTGTGCCAGGCACTATTATCATGTCGTTTAATCTTTCCAGCCAATCTATGAGACAGGCCCTATTATCATCCTCATTTTACAACAGAGGAGAATAAAACTAAGAGAGCCGAAGTAGGGCAGGAAGCCAGTCACCGAGGGAGCCAGGACTCCCCCGAGGGCTCAGACATTAGAGCCCTACTCAACCCTCTTCTCCACTGCCTCTCTTGGTCACCTTGTAAATAAAATAGTGATGCTAACTGACATTAGTTGAGTATCTACTGCATGCCAAGCCCTGCTCAGGGTGCTTTATATGTATCATCTCATTTAATCCTCAAACAATTTTATGAAGTTGGTTTCTTAGACCCATTTGCAGATAAGGAAACTGAGGCACAGAGTGCACTGAGGCACACTCGCTCAGGTGTCCTTCAGGAGTGAAGGACTTTCCTGGGACTTCCCTGGCGCTCCAGTGTTTAAGACTCCACGCTTCCATGGCAGGGGGCGCAGGTTTGATCCCTGGTCAGGGAACTAAGATCCCTCATGCCCCGTGGCATGGCCAAAAAAAAAAAAAAAAAAAAAAAAAAGGAGTGAAGGACTTTCCCCCAGCTACTGAGAGGGCTTTCCAGCACAGCCTGGGCCTGCCTCAGCTGAAGAGAGCCAGTTCACCCAAGGTTCTGCCGCCTTCCTGGGGCAGCCTTTGTCCGATGACTGTCTGAAATAAGGGTATAAAGGCCCAGCCCTGTTGCCCCACTGGGGGCAGTTCTCAAGGGTCACCCCATCTTCAGATCTCCCCACAGGGTCAGCTGAGGCTTCTGTTGAGACTGGATCTCCGTGCCCAGTCCTGCATCCTCCCTGCCCATTCGCAGACGTTGACCCCAACAGAATCCCCAATAATCATTTCAGACTGCTTCCCGGGGACCTGGACCAAAACAGTGGTAGGGCCAGGATTTGAACCCAAGTCCTGCACTGCTCCTGTCACAGGCCCGGCCTGCAGAGATCTCTCTACCTGGGCTTTGGCAGCAGCAGCTCTAAAGAATGGGTTGGGTGGGCTGCCTGGGATCCACGGGAACCGGAGCCGAGCAGTGCAAGCAGGGAGCTTCCTGAGGTCACCCTCTCTACCAGGGAGCTCTGCTTGTCTCTGGGAAGCCTTTTCTCTGCACTGGTCTAATCCCCTCTGATCTGATTCCCTTTTCCACATCCCAGTGGTGGCTTGGAATCAAAGCCTTAGTGGACTCTTCTGGGGTCCCCAAAATGCCATGTGTTTCCTGCAGCTCCTGGGGTCCCTTCTCTCCTGGAGCAGCCCATCCATCCCCCACCCAGGGACCCCCTCAAATGACTGCTGTGGACAGAGCCCCCATGGTGGTGGTGGGCACGGCTGGAGGACAGACTTCCCTGCACTTTATCCACTCCTACAGCAGCCAGTGTGTCTCCAGAAAGCATGTCCGTGGCCATTTCCAACAGCAGCCAATCCCCATGTGTGCGAACCTTTTCCGGTCACTGCCTCTCACCTCACAGGTGGATTTGGGCCTCGCTCTCTAGACTCTCTGGACTCTCTGGACTCATCGGGGCTTGATTCCTGCCTCTGTCCTAGCATATCCCACAGCACTGGATCAGTTAGTTCCGTCCAAGTCTCCACCCCACTGTGAGCTTCTCATCCAAGGCCCATCTTGCTCATTTTGGATTCCACAGCCCCCAGGGCGGACCGGCCTCAGGGCGTATGGTCAGTAACTGCTCGTTCTGTGGTTTATCAACCCTGTGGTCAAAGTTTTGGTGGAGGAAGAAGCTGAAGGCCACACACCTGAAATCAGGTTTTGGCTCTTCCGTATTCCCTGGGCCACAGTCGCCGTGGTTTTTTGTTAAGTGCCAGGTCTTCACATCCCTGCACACACCTCGTATCGTGAGAAGCATGGTCCAGGATCTCAGCTGTGTCTGTCTTTCAGATCCTTCTGCACGGACTTTGTGGCTGGCCTGGTGAAGTGGCTGGACTTGTCCGAAGCTGTCTTGCCAACCATGACTGCTTTTGCCAGCGGCCTGGGAGGCGAAGGAGCAGACACGTTTGCTCAGATTTTATTGAAGGACCCCATCTTGAAGGACGACCCACTGGTGATCACTCAGGTACACCCACTGCCCAGGTGGTGGCTGCCAGGGAAAGTAGAACAGATAATTTCCTCTCAAAGTCAGCCTGAATATCTCTTCTAGTGGCATGGGGGGAATTGAAAGATTAAATATTGCATCATAATTTCATATGATGATGACGATCATAGCTAATGTTGAATTATCGTTATTGAATATTTACTATCAATTTATTACTTAAACAGTACTTATTATATGCTAATACCTTACTAATATGAACTCATTTAATTCTCAAAGCAATTTTATTAGGTAGGTAGGATGATAAATGGAGGCACAGAGACGTTAGGTAACTTGTTCAAGGTCACACAGCTGACTTGAACCTTGGCAGTCTTACTCCAGAGCCCATGCTCCTGACTGCTAAGCTGTGGTGCCTCCTTTTGGAAGCAGCAGCTTTGCTGTGTGCCCTTGGGCATGTCACTCACCTGCTCTGTGTGCATTTGAAGCAGGCAGAAGCTTGACACAGGCTATCGGTGGGTCAAGAGAGCAGATTTAAAACAGCCCTTCCCCTCCTTCATCTGACTCCCTGAAATTCTCACACATTTATTCAGTTATCTGCTTACTTGTTTGTCTGGCTCGCCCCTCGAATGTAGGGCAGAGGTATTTTGTCTGCCTTGTTCTCCCACTTATTAAGGGTCAATAAACATTTGTCAAGTGAGCAGGCTGGTTACAAATCAACCTATTGCTAATTCCTGTTACTCTTCCCTCAGGACCTTCTGAGCTTCTCACTCAAGGATGGTGAGTTGATTTCATAAGTTGTGGGGCACATATCTGCACCTCAGCCAGTGAAGCCAGTGGTAGGTGTTGCCCCTGTGGTCCCGTCCCCAGTGGCCTTTTTGGTGCAAGAAAGGAAAGGGGGCTTCCCTGGTGGCGCACTGGTTGAGAGTCCGCCTGCCGATGCAGGGGACATGGGTTCGTGCCCCGGTCCAGGAAGATCCCACATGCCGCGGAGCGGCTGGGCCCGTGAGCCGTGGCCGCTGAGGCTGCGCGTCCGGAGCCTGTGCTCCGCAACGGGAGAGACCACAGCAGTGAGAGGCCCGCATACCGCAAAAAAAAAAAAGAAAGGAAAGGGAAGCCAGTAGAGCTGGGGAGCTGGAAGCTCTCCATTCATGCCAAGCACCGGGTGGTGCTTCTTAGCGGTTTTATTGATTCCACACAGTGCCCTGTGGTTCCACCTTCTGAGTGGCTCTGGAGTCTGGCTCCTGCCCTCTGAGGTCTGTTCTGCTGGCAAACAGAAGAAGCATGGAATTGAAAATGAAATCCCAACCACGTCTACACTGTGTAGGAAGGGAAGTCCCCCGCACTCCCCACCGGAACGCTGGCTCGTGCAGGACTGGAGGGGTAACAAGAGGAGGAAGAACAGAATGTCAGGAGCAGAAACAGCATGTGCAGGAGGCCTGGCTGGAAAGAACGCTCAGAGGAGGGTCACGGGGGCCGGAGCCGAGCAGGCTCTCCATCTACACGAGATCCCAGGCTGTTCCCATGGAGTTTATAGTCTGAGAAGTGCAGCTCTAAGGCTCAAACCCCAATATATATTTTTGACCCTAGTCTAGCCGCACAAAATGCTTTCAGTCTGTATCTCAGAGCCAGATGGGAGCCCAAGGGTGATCTGGCCCAGTCCCTGCTTTCAGGCGGGCACGAGCTGAAGTAACACTTCTCTTTAGCCGGTGAGGCCATGTGGCTGAGCTGTGGTCTGAGGATGTGGTGCAGTTGGTCTGAAAATCCTCAGCTGTATCACTTGTGTTTTTTCCAAACAGTAGTAAGGGAAGAATAACAATATCCGATCGTCCTGGACGCTGTTGGAGTGAGGGGTGGGTTTGCACAGAGGTCTGAGGCTCAGGAAAGCAAGGCAGCCCATCAGCACACACACGCTCACGTGATAATCACGGGAACAGCAAAGCACCAGTTCTTGAGCGCTTGCTGGGTGCCCAGCCTGCCGCCAAGGGCTGTACAGGCACGGAGCCCTCTCAGCCCCCTGAGGGGTGCTGGAGGTCGTTGTTCCCATTTTGCAGGTCAAGATCATCTTGGATGAGACGCCCATATTTCCAGGTGGAGAGGTTGAGGCCAGAGAGGGGAAGGGGCTTTCCCGGAAGCACACAGTGGCAGAGGTGGCCTGTTGGTCAGAACCAGGTCTCCGGCCTCCAGGGCCAGCCTTCTGCCCCACGGCCTTGTCATGAGGGAGAAGCAGCTGCCCCAGCCCTCCTGTGTCGGCCTCACTCTCTCCCTTTCCTCACCCAGCGAGCCACGTTCATCCTAGCCTGCTTCCTGCCCCCGCCTGCCAATCATAAGCCCTCCTGAGCTCCCAGGAACACCCAGGACACTTTAACTTACCCCCTCTGCTATGGGTGACCTTGGCCTGGCTCTCACAGAATAATTGGAGTGGGTTTGAAACAGCCTGTCTAATGTCATCACCTGGTACCTCATTCCCTCCCAGGGGTGTTCTCATAGGCAGCCTCTAAACCGGCACTGCCTTTGAAATATCTCTTGAGAATAACCACCACTTATGTAGCACCTGTAATGCTGGTCATGGTACCCGACCCTTGTCAGGCATTGTTTCACATCATCCTCATGGCCATCCTTTCACGTATACACTCCCACTTTCCAGATGAGCAAACTGAGGCCCAGAGAGGTGAAGTAACTGGCTTAAGCTGGTAAGTGGCAGAGCTGGACATTCTAAAACAAGTGCTATTAACAAAAACCTTAGCAGATTTTACCCACAGGGGTTGAGGAATGTGGCAGCATCCCCACGGGAATATAGTAATACCTCGTGTCTAAAGAATACCAGTTTCTGACAACATCTGGGGGGTACCTTTGGTTTATCTCAAAGCCCCACCAGATGCCGGCATCTACAAACAGCAGCAGCTTCACTGGCACACCGGGACCCCAATGGGAGTGGGTGCTAGGGCTCAAAATTTCCCCAGAGGTCAGAGGTAGGTGGCCCCTCTAACCATCTAGACGACCCTCCCATCAGACACAGGCAGACCTCGGAGATATTGCAGGTTCCGTTCCAGACCACCGCAGTAAAGCAAGTCACGTGAATATGTTTGGTTTCTTAGTGCATGTAAAAGTTATATTTACACTATACTGTAGTCTGTTAAGTGTACAGTAACGCTGTGTCTAAAAAAACAATGGACCTTAATTTAAAAAATGCTGTTAATTTAAAAATGCTGTTGGAAAAATGGCACTGATAGACCTGCTGGATGCAGGGTTGCCACAGACCTTCAATTTGTTTAAAAAAAAAAAAACAAGAAAACGCAATACCTGTGAAGCACAATCAAGGCAAAGAGCAATAAAACAAGGCCTGCCTGTGGATGAGAAAAGGAGGCCCGGAGTGGGAGTGGCTACAGTTGTCATGTCCAACTCCATCCTTATTAATGAAGAACCAGGGACCAAGAACTGGGTGCATCTGGGGATCAGGCTGCCTGGTGTTAAGATTCAAGCTCTACTCTGGCAAGGTCCTGAATGTCTCTGTTTCTTGGTTTTCTCAGGTGTTAAATGGGAACAAACAGTACTTTTTACCTTATAGGGCAGTGGTGAGGATTAAATGAAATAACCCAGGTAAAGTGCTCAGAACAGAGCTGGCATGCAGGAAGCAGGCCATGAGTGCCACTGGGGCACGGTGGTGGTGGTGAAATGGGAAAGCCCTGGGAACCAGAAAACCTGGACTCTCATCCTGTCTCTCAGACTCTCATTGTGTGACCTTGATCAAGTCACTTAACTTCTCTGAACTTCAGTTTCAAATACAAATGAGAGGCAAGAGCCAGATGCTACTTCCGAGCAAGACAAAACTGTCTTTGGTCCTAAGAACACAGTCAAGGATCTTGTAAGGAGAAGGTCAGTGTCATAGTTGGGCCGGTTGCTCAAGGCCTTTCCCATAAGCTCCATGAGAGTAGGGCCCTGTCTGGCTTGTTCACCATCATATCCTGGTGTCTGCAACACTGATGGACACGTGGTGGGCATTTAGTACTTGTTGGGTGGGTGGGTGGATGGATGGATGAAGGGATGGAGGAATGGATGAAGGGATGGAGGGACGGATGGATAAACGGATAGAAGGTTGGATGGATAGAAAGAAGGATGGATGCCCTTTCCTTAGAGCACAAGCTTAGATACTAGCAAGGTGGTTTGTCTGAACTTGAGGGTTAAAACTTTTTTCTGCAGAAACTGATGGGGTAGGACACACAGCACAGAAGAAGGCTCTCTGTGCCACTGCATTTCTCTCTGGGTGTGAGACAGGGTGATTAATCATGGAATCAGCCCAAGACATCAACACAAAAAGCCGCACGTCTCTGAACTTCCTGGAAGGTTGACCCACACTGACAATATTGGTATCTTAGTCACAAAACGATGCCATCTTGGCAGCTGGGTGGAATTTTCTATGCATGCTAATCATTTTCTTCTCATCCGGTAACAACCCATGAAGCTTCCTGCCCACACAACTGGAAAAAAATAAGCCTTTTATATGTTGAAGGTTAAACTAAATCTGAGCCAACTCTAGACTGGGTTTCACAACTGTGGCACTATTGACATTTGGGACTGGATAATTCTTTGTTGTGGGATCACCCTGTGCCATGTAGGAGATTTAGCCGAATCCCTGGCCTCTACTCACTAGATGCCAGTAGCACTTCCTGAGTTGTGATAAGCAGAAATGTCTCCATACTTTGCCAGATGTCCTCGGGGGGCAAAAACATCCCTGGTTGAGAACCATGGGTTCAGGACCCCAAATTTGGCTGTCTCAGGTGGGGCTGGTTTATTTGTAGTTGGTAATCTTTGTAAGTTACCTAGTTGCTCTCCTAGGTCCTGTACACAGATGGTGAATTATTGCATCATATATAATCCTCAAATCAACTACTAGGGTAGATACAGTTATCCCCACTGATAGGAAATTGGGCTCAGGAGGTTAAGTAACCCGAGGTGGCATTTCCAAGTAAGTTTCAAATTCCATTTAAGGCAGTGAGTCTCATGGTGAACGTGCGCAGGGGACTTAAGCTGACACATGGTTCTTGCCCTCTGTACTCTGAATCCAAAGATAACATTGACTCCAGGCCATGGAACCCGACGACACGCAGCCGCATGAGATATAACAACTTTCACCACAAACTTGGCTCTACTTTCTGACCTGGTCTTTATTACCGAGTTGCAAACCCTACCAACCCAATGAATCAGAAAGGTTTGAGAGGTTGGTCGTTGGTCGTGGTGGAACGCGTTGTCAGCTGGTGGCTAGGTTCTTCTTCAGGATCCTCAAGGTTCGTAAAGCTTGCTATCAGTATTGAAACTGGCTGTTCATCCATTCAGCAAACGAGAACGGAGCCCGCACTGTGTGTGCCAGACCGTCTGCTAGGTGCTGGGAGTAGTTCTAACCAGGGCCGATGCTCATTGAGTGCCTACTGTGTGCAGGCCCTGAGAAAAATGCTTTACAATTTGTTTAAACCCCTCAACAGCCCTGGGAGGTAGATGCTATTCCTGTCCCTCATTTTACAAAAGAGGCAGCTGCGGCCCAGAAGGTGAAGTCACCTGCCCAAGGTCACACAGCAAGGATTCGAACCCAGGTAGTGTGGTTCCAGAGTCCATGCTTAACTGCTGTTCTGCTTCCTACATGGAGATAAAATGATAAAATCCTCATCCTTGCAGCTGACTTTAAGGGGATTTGATGAGGCCAGAATGAAGAGTGGGCACCCCATGTGGTAGAGGCCGGAGGAGGCCAATCTGGCCAGCAGCTGAGAGGGTGGAGCTGGAGGAGG